TGTGTGTGTGTGTGTGTGTGTGTGTGTGTGTGTGTGTGTGTGTGTGTGTGCGCGCGCGCGCGCGCTCGCCGAGTCTCTTCGTCTCTTAGGGGCCATTTCTAGATAATTTTGCTCACTCGAAAGACAGGCAAGGCTGCCCTAACCTCATTTAGTTCAAAACAGGACTCCGGGGCTCTCAGCTGAGGCATTCTTTCAGAAAACAGAAACAGAAGTAACAGGCAGTCAAGCTCAGGAAAGGAAACCTACCATGGCAACAAATTGAGATTTGCAGTTTAGTCTCAACTGGCATCATTTTGACTGAGGGAATTCTCACTATTCTTTTTGCATTGCCTGGCAACAGGCAACTTTCTACTCCTCTGGACATTTGTTCTCCGACCTTGGAACAGTGGTTCTCAACATGTGGGTGGTGACCCTTTGCGTGGCATATCTGACATTTACATTACACTTCATAACAGTAGCAAAACTATAGTCATGAAGTAGCAATGAAAATAACTTTATGGTTGGGGGTCAACACAACATGAACTATATTAAAGGGTCACAGCATTAGGAAGGTTGAGAACCAGTCAAAAGCGGGTGGTGCCATCCCTGGGCAGGTGACCCTGGAGTGTGTAAGAAAGGTTTGCTTACTTTATTTTTGGTTTTTGTGAGACAGGGTTTCTCTGTAGACACAGCTGTCCTAGAACTCACTCTGTAGACCAGGCTGGCCTCAAACTCAAGAGTTCCGCCTGGCTCTGCCTCCTGAGTACTGGCATTCAAGGCGTGCACCACCACTACCCAGCTTAGGCTTGTTTATTTTGAAAAAAGATTTACCATGAGTGCTGTGCCTGGTGCCCACAGAAGCCAGAGGGCGCCCTGGACCCCCTAGAACTAGTTACAGATAACTACCATGCAGGAGCTAGGAACCAAACCTGTGGAGAAACAGGAAGCGCTCTTAACTGCTGAGTCATGTCCAGTTCCCTTCAAGTTCAGTTTTTGCAGAATATTAGCGGCCACAGTTATGACGCTATGATGTAGTCAGCTCCCTCCGTCTTCACGGGTCCATTTTTCACATCTCTGAGGCTTAGCATCTTTGACTTTTTGCTGGCACTGAGCATCAACTCTGAGGGCTAGAACATGCTGGGCAAGTACTCACTGGCCCGCAGTGACCCTCCTCAAATACATCTGGGATCACAAAAACAACAGGCAGGTGGCATTTTCTAACCCAGGACTGTCTGTTCTACTACTGCTTCATACATCTTAAAATACCTGTTTTTGAAACCGGGGTAAATGAAAATATTAACTGGAAATATAAATGTAACTTTAGAATTGAGGACCTGAGTTTTCATCTGTTTTTGTACGTGCAGATCAGAGGTCAATCCTGTGTTCCACAGCAACCATCCACCTTGCTTTTTAAGACGGTGTCATAGGACCTGCAGTGCCAATGAGGCGAGGCTGGCTGCCAACAAGCTCCAGGCGGTCTCTGCCTCCCTGATGCTAGAATTACAGTGTGTGCTCGCATGTCCGGCCTTCTATGGGGGTGCCAGTGATGGTACTCAGTCCTCCTGCTTGGGAGGCAAGCACTTTACTGAATTAACTCCCTAGCAGGCAATTGCAGATAGACCTAGCAGAGACTAGTTATCTGTCTACCTTGACTAGTTAAGAATGAGCCTCATGGCACACGTTTTTAATTTCAGCACTCAGGAGGCAGAAGCAGGTGGATCTCCAAGTTCGAGGCCAGGGTGAGATCCAGGACAGCCAGGGCTACAGAGAAACCCTGTCTCAAACAAACAGCACCATGAAGCAGGGGAGGGGGCTCGGGGGTAAAAGCATTTGCAATGCCAGCATGAGAACCCAAACCTAAATCCACAAAACCAAGTGTGCTTGGAACCCAGAGGCCAGTCAGCCTAGACCAAGGGCAAGCATCTGGTTCATGTCTTAGAGAGCGGAGCACCAGACTCCAGCACCCCTTCTCTTGTTTACTAGGTCACAGCTCTTCCTCTACAAGCAAGCTAATTATCTTAATGGCTGAATTCTGTGCTCAATTTTCCGTACATGGATCTTTAACAGAAGGTAACTTGTTTGTGTGCTTGAAAAGACCAGTGTGCACAAAGTCCTAATTGTGGGTTGGGAGCCTTCATCAGAGATAAAAGAGGGGAGGGAACTTCCCTGTAGTGAAATACAGTTGTACAAATAAGACTCCTTCCTGTCTCGCAGAGCCCATAAGCAGGTCCACTTCCTGTCCTGAGATGCCCTCCTCCTCTCCAGGCTGCCGCCTCTGAACTGGAGCTGAAGACAGAAGCTCGGCTGTGTTTGCAGAAGCCTGACGACGACGACGACGACAAGGGCTGGACAGGGACTGGGACAGTGAGGGAACTCTTAGGCAATGCAGCCAACAGCTGCTCACCCCCTCTTCAGGGCTGCAGACAGAACGCTTGCCTAGCATGGAGGAGACGTTTCCTCCCAGTGCTTAGGAAGGGGTGGAGCCTGAGCGAGACCTATCTGTGGTTCATTCCAGCCCTGGACCCTGACCACCCTGTTTTGTACCCTGCATAGTGCAGAGAGGGTTTGTCACAATCTAGGGGGAGCGGGGAGCCCCACAGTAGACAAGACACCAGAGAGACAAGAAGCTTTTATTTGCAACTTCCGAGGAAGACAGTTGCTGAGGGACGCGCTACTCTGACTAGCTCAGTGAGAGCAGGCAGACACTTCGCTGTTCAATGGCGTAGGCACCGGGGTTTCTGAAAGGAAAGGGATTCTCTAGAAGACTTATTAGAACCCTGTCCGGGGAGAGGGCACTCGGCTCCCTGACCAAGTTCAACACCCCACTTGCCTTCCCCAGAGCAGATACTGTTGAGCAAAACAAGCCATGGAGACTCTGCCTTTGGTTTCTCCTCCACTGTCTGCTCAGGATTAAAGGACAGGGTTGATGATGGCAGACAGCGAAGGCCGCGTCTGTCATTTGTCCACCAGCTCTGCCCTCTTGCCTATCTTAGAGCCTCCTCCTCACAGCCTTGTAGAGACTTCCTAACTACAGCCTACTTCCAGGCGACACACTGATGTGGAGGGTCCAGGGTCAAGGCAGCTCCAAGTTAGTCATCCACTGTGATGTTCCGGAAGAGGTAAGCCATGGACTCGCCATTGTGGATTCTCCGAATTGCCTCAGAAAGAATCAAGCTGATGTCCACAGTCTTTATCTTGGGACACTGCAGTTTCTGGAGCTCGTGCGGGACAGTGTTCGTCACCACCACCTAGTAACCAAGCCACAGAGAGCACATAGTCACTGTGTGTGTCAGGGAGTAGCTACAAAGCAAAGCATATCTAACATTGAATTTAATGCCCCCAGCTCAAGCTCCAGAACATAAACCGTTTGTTCTAGAGGGTTCCTTTAGTGGCAATGGGGGCTGAACACTTCACACACGCCAGGTGAGCATGCTCCACTGAGCTACAGCTCAATCTTGGTTTTGACTTTGAGGAAGGGTCTTGATAGGTAACCCCAATTACAGCTTAACTATAACTCATCTCTCAAGTGCTGGGATTACAAGCATAAAAATCACATCTGGCCAACATACAGATTTTAGAAACTGAGCATCCACTGGCTCAGAACTTAAGTCCTAACAATGGCCAGTCCCATTCGAAACTTACTATCATCAGGGAAGATTTCAATTATCAAATGTCACTCTACTGTCAACATGAAGAGGATCTAAACAATCCTTTATGCAAATCCCAATTCCCGAACGTCTATCCGCCCGAACAAAGCTGCTAAGAAAGTACTGTAAACAGGTGCGCCCCCTAGCCAGAGACGAAGCAACTTAACACTGAGTCACTTGATTATTCCAGGAACTAGTGGCAACCTGGACTCAAACGGAATATTCTAAGCCCTTTAAAGCAGACAAACCTCATCAATGGAAGACTCCTCAATCAGACGAGGGGCTTCGGCAGACAGGATGCCGTGTGTGGCCATGACATAGATCTTATAAGCACCCCTCTCTTTCAGGATCTCTGCAGCAGCTACGAAACTCTCCACATCATCAATAATGTCATCCTGCGAGGAGAGAGGGAGTCTCGGTCACTCTCTACCCAAGCTGAGAAAGCACTTACCTCTCCACTGCACATGGTTTCAGCGCCACCAGAACACATGCCTGGGCCAAGACCTGAGCATCCCGGGCCGGCAAGAGAGACACCTCTGTGGGCTGAGTGTCAGCAAAGCAGTGAGGCTCCTGGTCCCCAGGTGTGTGTGACATGGCAGCTCAAGCTGTCATGACATGATGTCACGATGAGGAGCTTCCCTCCCTCAGACTCCTGACTCACTCCACAGAGCCAGCACGCTGCTTACTTTGTCCCAAGAGAGGGCGACATGAAAGGAAGAGAACTAAGGGAGCTGCTGACGGTGTGACTCTGACCTAGTGAGAGCGGCCAGCACACCAACACAAAGCTAAGCTGCGCTGGGACAATTGGAAAGGCTCGGCTTCAGCCTATCTCATGGCCCCGAAATGTAAGGACCATCAAGTGAGCTGGTCTGAGGCTCCAGAACCCTAAGATGAAGGCCATGGTGCTGAATTTCCCGGGGAGGTACTGGGCTTTTAGTTTGCCGGCTATCCATCAATTTCCACTCATTTATATAAAAATTCTATTAATCTCTTAAAGGAGACCGAGTAAGGAAGGGCAGATGCATCCAGTGGAACCCACCACCACGCTGAGACCCACACTGACTAAGCCACCAGTGTCACCGCTGTGCATGAAATGATGACGATGCATCCCCATACCACTATGATTGCAATGCGTCCTCCGACGTCTCCGACCACTGTTATAGGTGGCTTCTCTTTGGCCATCATCACTAGCAAATCAAAACAAATCACAAGACCCAGTTAGTTGGGTAACTGGATAAATATAATCACAACCTGGTGGCAAGCTTCAGCACAGACTATATATACAACCTAACACACAGACCCCCCCCTTGACTGACTCACTCAAGAATCAGAGCTAGCTGGAGCAACACTGCTCACAGAAACAGGAGGCAGGATGCAAAAGTGATTTTAAATTTTCTAGTAGTTACAGTAAGTAAAAATAAAAAGCAGGAGCTGGAGGAAGAGAAAAGTTGCTCTTGTGGAGGACTTGGGATCCCAGCATCCACATCGTGGTTTACAACCACGGAGTTTCAGGAGGTCCTATTCCCTCTTTTGACCTCTGCAAGCACCAGGCATGCACATGGTATACATAAAAACAAAACACTCATGTACATAAAATTGAAAATGGTAAATTTGGTATTTTATTTGACATAGCATACTTAAAACTGTACCATATCAATCTATAATCAGTATTAAAATGTACTGGTGAGGTATTTTATGTTTTTCTTTTTTTAATGGTAGCCACCACTATAATATGGGGTCATTTTGAACATCTACCTCTTCTCTCAAGTGAGACTGGCCACATCTGAAGAACTCAGTACTCGTTTGTACCAAGGGCCACCAGAGTGTGCAGCAAAAGTGGAAAACTGGAAGAGCAGAGCAGAAAGGGGCTCCTGACCAGAGAAACAGTCCTGCCAGGGTGTCTGGCCAGGCTGACATGTGGACAGCTGCCTGCTAAAACCCAGTCAAGGGTGGGGGTGACGAGTCTCACTTTCTTCTTTCTTGGTTTTGGATTTTCAAGACAGGGTTTCTCTGTGTAGCCTTGGCTGTCCTCGAACTCACAGAGATCCACCTGCCTGTCTCCCAAGTGCTGGGATTAAAGGCATGCGCCACCACCACCCGGCCTCGTCTCCGTGATTTGGACACTGCAACCTTAGTATCAGATGTCTGCTCCACACACTTCCCTGGAAATCAGGGCCTTACAAGATGTAACTACCAGATCATTTTCTCATTGACTCTGAAGCAGAGGCTCCATGGTTCACTACAAAACCTGCCTCTGCAAGAGGACACACCGAGTAGAGACCCATCCTCCATGCGGCTGGGAGAACTCAGCCATACACTTGCCCAGCACACCACAAGTCTTGGGCTCCATTTCAAGTATAACAAACCAACTGTAATGTACACCATATTGGTAAATTGTCACATGCCGTTTGAATCCATGGAGACTCTAGCTCAGGAAACATGGTGTCCCAACCCCATACCATTTCAGATCCAAGAATGTTCTCCAGGTCTGGGGATGAGGAGTCCCCCTAAACTGTACGACATGGAGGGAGAAGAACAAAAAGCAGCTCAAGAGTAAGAATACTGTGTCCTTGGAACAGCTGGGCTGTGAACATCTGCAGGTCACTACTGCTCACCCCATGGTGTCAAAGTGTCTGCAGTAGGGAAGAGAAGCAGGAACCAGCCGTGGAGAGAAAGCTCAGCTCACCTCAAACTGATGTCTCAACTTCCCCAGTTTCTGCCCAACAGTGTGAGGATCAATGTGTCTCTCTGCTCTTTGTTCTTTTACTTGGATGCATCACCAGAGAGGACTCTGCTCCAGACTCTCCATGGGGAACCAGCTCGCTGCCTTAATAACCCCTTTTGATTATCTTGTCTGCCTGTCTGTCTGTCTGTCTCTCTCTGGCTTGCTATATACTTAATAAACTGACAATATGGCTCAGTAGAGCACACCGGCTGGGGCCGGGCTGTAGCTCAGCTGGGAGAAGGCTTGCCTAGCATGCCTGCCACCCTTGGTCTGATGCCCCAGCACCACTTAAAACTGGGCACGGCAGCACAAACACCATCCTGATTCCAGGACGCGGGAAGAGGAGGCAGGAGGATCACAAGTTTAAGATCACCTTCAGTTATATAGCCAGTTTGAGGCCAGCCAGGGTTACACCAGACCCTGTGTCTCAACAATAGAGCCCCAGAAAAACAAGCTAAGTTCTCTGCTCTCCCTGCAGCCTTTACTACTGGGAAGTACTTCTGAAAAGAGTAGCCGTGGGAGAAAGGAAACAGTCCGGCACCAGGTGATTCACAGCTCGGCACGTAACAACCAGTTCAGCTGACCCCATCTAAGGGAGGGGGTGTCCACCCTGAATAAGAAGGAGACGGCTGATCTGGAGGCCTGGACCATTTTCTGGTCCAATTTTAATAGGTACTTCTTCATTTCCCATCAGAATCAGGGTGATCTCTTGAATTTGGGCAGTCACAAATGTTTTATACACAGATCAGTTAGCAGTCTGGCATGGTGACAGACGATAATCCCAGCTCTGGAGAGGTAGAGGCAGGAGGATTGAGAATTTCAGGCCAGCCTGAGCACACATCAAGGTCCTGTCTCAACAGAACTCAGCTCTAGTTTGGTCATGTGAAGTGGGGCATGGTGGTATGAACTTGTAGCTGAGACAAGTGTACTATTCAGCTCGAAGGTTTGAGACCAGGTGGGAAACACATTAAGACACCATCTTAAAAAGGGGGGTGGGTTATGGGGGTGGCTGGAGAGATGGCTCAGTGGCTGTTCAATCATGAGGACCGGAGTTTGGATTCCAGCACCCACATTAGATGGCTCACCAATGCCTGCAACTTCCGCTCCAAGGGATCTGAAACCCTCTTTTGGCCTCTGCAAGCACCCTCACATATGTGTTCTCCCTCTCCCTCTCTCCCTCTGGGGGAACAGGCAGCCAGGCATGGTGGTGCACTCTAGTAATCCTAGCACTTGTTGTGGGGGCTGAAGCAAGAGGATCCCAAGACCAGCTCAGGCTCACAGCAAGACTGTCTCAGAACTAGCAGCGACGACAGAAAAGATGCCACCTGTCAATGGCCGCGACTCAATAACTGAGTCAGGAGAACGAACTGTGAGTAGAAGCTGAGTCCGACGGAAGTGGATAGTCACAGGAATGCTACCGACAATGAGGAGGGAAAAGTGTAACTTTCCTAGCAGGAGGCCTGCCAGGCGCCATCCTAACCAAGAGGCTAAGATCAGCCTCTCCAGCAATGGGACACCACGTGCTTCCTGTGGCATTCCTGCCAAACACCCAAATTTGAATCTATCTAAGCATGAGGACATAAACAAGTCCCAATTAAGGGACAGCCTACAAAGTAACTGATCTGTGCTGGTCTACAGTATCAAGGTCATCAGAGACAAAGAAGGGAGGAGCCATTCTGGATTTAATGAGGCCACTGAATGTCAACTGAATGCAATGTGCAGCCACAGATCAGGCCCTGGGCCGAAAAACAAACAAACAAACACACACACACACACACAAACAAAAAAAAAAAAAAAAAAAAAAAAAGACAAAGGTTTTCTTCTTGTTCCAGAGGGCACAGTGAAGTAATCAGGCCTGTGGATCGGATAACAGTCTATTGGGCTGTTCTGAGTGAGAGTCAGTTTTATTTGTACACTCGTGTACTTCCAAACTACAACAACGTGAGATCTGAAGACTGTACTCTTTAACGGCCAAATAAAGTGTACAACACCAAAATCAATAAAATTATGAAATCATCAAAAAGCAAAAAAACAAGTAAAAGCACATTACATACTCTTTTTATATAAAAAATGTACAAAACTAGAAATGGAAAGTGAAGCAACAGCCGGGCAGTGATAGCCCACGCCTTTAATCCCAGCACTTGGGAGTGGGGCAAGAGGATCTCTGTGAGTTCGAGGCCAGCCTGGTCTACAGAGTGAGATCCAGGACAACCACCAAAACTATGCGGACAAAGGACAAAACTACCAAAGGAAGGAAGTGAGAAAGCGTTCACAGGACGGAGAGCACATGCACCGGCGCTGGCCCGACACCAACCGTGACGTTCTTCTCCCTGTTAACCTGTTTCTGAAGCATAAGGAAAAAGACTTTTGAGAAAAAGACTCTCTCCTCTAAGAATCTCAAGCCTTGCTGCAGCACACACCTGTCAGTCTGTGGGAGTGAACTGCTGGCACATCTGGAGTTAGAGGACCAAGTCAGCCAGGAGTCAGGTCAAAGAACTAAACCCAACGGTAAAGGAGCCTGATGCCAAAGCCTACGTCACTTTGGACCCCACACCATCACACACAGGTTATTAACTTGTGTTATTAACCCATACTGCAAACGTGCGCTACAACACCAAACTCTCCTTTTATGAAAGGGCAAGTCAAGGCAATACTGCTCAATGATTTAAAAATAGCTAACCAGCCTGGTGGTGGTGGCACACGCTGTAATCCCAGCACTCAGGAGGCAGAGCCAGGCGGATCTCTGTGAGTTCGAGGCCAGCCAGGACAGGCACCAAAACTACATAGAGAAACACTGTCTCGGAAAAAAAAAAAAAAAGGCAAAACAGCTCAAAGAGGCTGCATCCTACCCCCAGCTGTAATTACTCAGAATCTTCCTCAGTTTACAGTAAGGACACAGAATGAATCTTACAGGGTAACTCCAGGCCCGGGTGCACAGTAGCGTTCTTGACCATGGGGGGCGAGTGTCGACCGTCATCCATGTCCAGCTCTGTGCACTGAGCTTCTCCGTGGATCACAGCCAGCCCCAGGCGCAGCCTCTCGGCATAGGACTGAGCCCTGAGAGGAAGACAACGGCTGTCAATGGTGACACTGATGGGAAGAATGCACAGTGCCCAGTACCACTCTAGCAATCACAAGACAACAGTCCATCTCTGAGGGGACACAAAGAATCATTTCTATAAACCAGGCCAGAAGATGAACACCTCAAGGGCTACCACTGCAGTTTAGATAATTTGGGTCTTTTTCTCCCCAATATTCTATAAAGTCATTTCTAGAACACTGTTCCAATGATGTCAATGCCAGGCTGGGAACGCAGCTTAGCTGGTCGAGTGCTCATTCAGCAAGACTGGGGTACTGGGTTTAATCCCCAATTCTACGTACACAAGGCATGGTCACCCTCAAGTAATTGCAGCATTTGAGGTAGAGGCAGGAGATCAGAAACTGAAGGGCATCCTCAGCTACCAAAGGAGCCTGAAACAGCCTGGGATACATGCACAATATACTGTCTACAAAAAACAAGGAAGACCACTGCCTAAAAGTATTCATAGCTTCACTATTTCCCTGAAAATCTGAAGGATTCCATTTCCTCCAGGGGAAAACTGACTAACACTGTGCTGGAGGCGCCCACGATGTTTGAAGTGGCGAGGTGAAGCCGCTGAATGGATTAGACAATGAGGTGGGGAAAACTAGAACCCGTGAACTTTTACTGGCCACATTATGATAACCCTGGGTTCCTAAAATAATTCTGACTTCAGGAGCAGCCACAGAGGGATTAGAAATGCCTGGAGTATTTACCTTTTTGCAGCATCAGGAGACTTAGCTACAATGACTGCATTTCTGTAATTTGGAATCTAGATTTGGAGGAAAAATAAAAAAAATACTGAAACATTATTAAAAAAAAACAAAACAAACAAAAAAACCAAACACCCTTAATCTGGACACTGGTCTAAGACTTCTCCTCATGATCCACACTAGCAAGCAATCGAGCGTGCCGGAGTTCATGTTGACACTGGCTTCATGGCACCTCATCGCTGTCAAAGCACTGCTGCACCAAGATAACAAAACTGTTGTTAAAAGCCTTCCTTCCTTCCTTCGGGGAAAGGTGGCACACAAGCACTCCGAGGGAAGTGTTCTTTCTGACATCTCGGAAAACATGGCCCTCTATAGCTAGATGCTGAGTCTATCTGGCTGCAGTAGGCACGGAGCCTCAGGGAAAGCTCTGGGATGTGCCTTTCAATAACCAAATCTGATGCCAGGGAAAAACTAAACAGCATGTCTTTGAGGACATGGGAGGTCTGCGGTGGCTCCTCACTTCTTCCTGGATATACTGAAGCAGGAAAGGTGAGGCTCTAAGGTTGTCCACAGGAAAGCTGAAAAAGCCTTGTATTTCCTTTTGGTGGAGATCCATAGTGATAATGTGAGTTAAACCTGAAATTTTAAAACAAAAAATTACAAAGTTCTCCCCTACAAGTTAATGGCCACAGTGGACATAACTAGATGCTCAACTCCTGCTTCCTACAGAAGACTGAAGGCAGGGCACTGTGAACTAGGGACACGCACTCGCTCGCTAGCCAGTCCGCATACGACAGACGGAGAAGAGGGTCCGGCCCCACGCCAAGAGCCTGGGCGAAGAACTAGCTGAACGGGTGTGCTTTCTACACTGCCGTGCGGTCAAGAGCGAGAGGTCAGGAGTCCAATAGAGTGTGGAGTAAACGTGAAGCAGCAGTAGGAATAAAACAGGCCCTCAAAGAATAGAAAAGAAATTGCTACAGACTATGGCTACCTCAGAAAGAAACAGAAGCAGAGTAACATAAGAGACCCACAGTTCAAGTGTAAGACCCTGAAGCGTCCAATATTCCCTATGTGACAAGAATGGTGTGAGAGCATTCTCAGAGAAAAGGGACATCGACAAGTAACACTGCATGCTGTCAGAGGTCATGGTCTCCCAGACCTGAGAACCAGTACTCTTAACAGACACCAGACAGGGAAAACCTCAGTCACTGTCCACTGTCATTCTGTCTGTTTTCCAGGCCGGGAAGCATGCACCACTCTTCTCGGAGAAAAGTGTGAACTGCTACACAGACAGGCGGGGAGAGCTGGGCAGGGAGAGCAAGAAACACCAAAGAAAAACTCGGAGCAACTGATGCATCAACTCAGCAAAGACAGTCGGCCTTTAGCTTGAGTTGTCACAAGAATGCCAAGCCTGCCAGTTGAAATGCAGATGACAAGATGATGGCAAAGCACCACCACAAAGACACCCTACAGCAGTGCCCTCTAAGACAGAGGAAACCCAAGAAGTTAGGACCTCAGCCCACATACCCCTTCCAAACAATGGAAAAGGGAACAAGAATGTGTCATCAGTGAACACGGAGAGAGACAGGTCCCAAACCAGATACAGAGGTGGGAGCTGATCTGCAGCAAGGAGAGGCTCTATCTAGTGCCGGGACCCAGGACCTCTGCTCACACTCACCGGCCTTCGCCAGCATGGAGGCCAGGAGCTTGCACACGATGGAGCCTCTCTTCCTCATCTTGCTCTGCTTGCTGTAGGGGAAGTAGGGGATGACACCGATGATGTTCCTGGCACAGGCCGTCTTCAGTGCGTAGGCCATGATCAGTAACTCCATCACGGCTGTGTTCACATCTCTACAACAGGAGAAAGTGTCTTGGAGTCAAATCTACATATTATCAACCCGAGAGGCTTTAGCCACTCAGCAGGGGCCACAACCTCTGGCCCGACAGGCATTTCACCAGCACCCTGGTCTGTGACGGCCCCTCATGAGCACAGGGCAGGTGTAGTGACTTCTCCTCTTAGCTGGGTCAGACAGTTCTCAGCTGTGGTCACTCAAACCCACAGCAGTGACCCCCAGGCCCGTCTTTGCCTGTTTCTTCCATGTCGGGAACCAGTTACTTGACACCTGCTGGGACTCAGCCAGGGATTCAGACGTAGGCCGAGCTGTCGTGAACAGAAAGCATTTTGTCTTTCTCACGGGGAAGGAGAGAGGAGTGAGGAAGTCTTGGAAGTTTTCACAAACCCGCTGTCCTTTCTTCCCCTCAAACATTCCTGACAAAGACAAGAGAAGGCAATGGACCCTGAAGGGAATCTGAGAAAGGCTTGTCCCCGGGGAACCAATGTCACTCTGCAGAGGTGATGGACCTTTCCACAAGATCTCAAGCTCTTGCCCCTGTGTCTCTGGCAGATGCCATACTCATTCTCAGATCCCTCTTCTCTGGGGCCATCACGCTTTCCACGTGCAGTTCTAGAGCAGACAGGCAGGAGTCAGGCTGCCCAAATAAAGAAAAGTGCAATACTACCATCACCCAGCAGATGAAAAGATTCTGAATCTGCAGGTCAGTCAGGCAGACCTGGAGCCCACTGTGCTGACCGGCCTGCTGTCTGCCTCTCTTGAAGGCAGTTTATCTAGGATCCAGCAGCTACCAGGACTTCCTCTTACTGAGGATTTTATTCTTCAATATTAAACACATGAAACTCCTAAGGTCAAAGAACTCTATGTATATCTATGTTAGAAATAAGACAATCACAAATGGGGGCTGGAGAGATGGCTCAGAGGTTAAGAGCACTGGCTGCTCTTCCAGATGACCTGGGTTCAATTCCCAGCACCCACATGGCAGTTTACACCTGTCAGTAATTCCAATTCCAGGGGATCTGACACCCTTTCACACATATATGCAGGCAAAACACCAATACATATAAAATAAATTTAAATAAATTAAAAAAAACAAAAAAGACAATCACAAGTTTAAGAGACTAGTGAAAACAGCAGGTTTTAAATGCAGTTCTGATTCCGAGCCAAGCATGGTGTGCACATTTTCATTCCAGCACTGGGAGAGAGAGGCAAGTGAATTTTTGAGAGTTCAAGGACAGATAGCCTGTTTACACAGAGAATCCCAGGACAACCAGGGATACATGCTGAAACTCTGCTCCCACCCCTGCCAAATATAAATAAATAAAAATTAAAAAAGGGGAAAACCCAAACAGTTCTGCAGAAAGGGACACAGGCATAGAAAAAAGGCAAAGACAGCACATGGGCTGGTTTGGCACAAGATGGTGGTGTTTGTTTGCTTTAAGACAGGGTAAGACAGGGTTTCTCTATGTATCCTGGCTGTCCTGGAACTCTGTACACCAGGCTGGCCTAAAACTCAAAGAGATCAGCCTGCCTCTGACTCCTGAGTGCTGGGATTAAAACACTCATGCCACTACCACCCAGCAAGATGGCATCTCCCCTGCCTGCCCCTGGTTTTTCAAGACAGGGCTTCTCTGTGTAGCTTTGGAGCCTGTCCTGGAACTCGCTCTGTAGACCAGGCTGGCCTCAAACTCACAGAGATCCGCCTGGCTCTGTTCCCCAAGTGCTGGGATTAAAGGTGTGTGCCACCACTGCCTGGCCTCTAGATAGCATTTAAAAAAAATCCACCAATAAACAGAAATTCCTGGGAGACAGAGCCAGGCGGATCTCTGTGAGTTCGAGGCCAGCTTGGGCTACAGAGTGAGTTCCAGGAAAGGCGCAAAGCTACACAGAGAAATCCTGTCTGGGGGGAGTTTTTTTTTGGGGGGGGGAGAAATTCCTGCCTCTTTTCCATAGGCTGGGACTTGCTCCCTCCTCAGATTTCCTATCCTATTTTCAGGACTCAAAGTCTTATCAAATAAATAATTTGGGACTTGAAACGGCCCTTCCTGCCTGCTGTTTTTACCCTGGACTCAGTCACATAGCGAACTACCTGTAATTCTCCGAGTTCTGAGACAAGCAGAAGTTTATACCTGTCTTCTTCCTATTTCCAAAGTAATAATGCCCAAGGCTAGCATCAAGGATCAGAAGACAGTCTCTTGGTACAATCAATAAAAAGCAATCACTTCTGGGAATTCATAACATTGGGTTAATTTTAGTTCAACCATCAATTATTTTTGGAGCAACTTATGGAGTTTACCACTTGGTAAGGCTGGGGACAAACAGCAATAGACAGGCTGCATCTCCGAAGGCCAGAACACACTGGGGTCACGTTTGCCTTAGTCATTTCTCCTGGGCAGCAAACGCAATTCAAGTAGCAATGCTCCTCATCCAGAAATACACCTATATATTTATTCTTCCTCTGCCAACACTGTGTGGCCTTACACCAAATCTCTACACCAAGAACACAAGCAGAGCTGGAGTTAATGTAGTAGATTCTGATATCCAAGTTTGGCAGGCCTGGTTACGGCATGCGTTGTACATAGCTGCCTGATTCCATGGCTCTGCAGAGCACCGAGGGAAGGGCCTGGCAATTAGTGACTGCGAGAGATCCGGGTTCCAGAATTACTAGTTCCTGCCTATTTTTTCCTCTTCCCAGTAACCAAAAAATTCAACATCCATGGTCAAGTATGGTGACGCAACACTTTTAATCCTGGCTCTCAGGCAGAGGCAGGTGGATTTCTGTGAGTGTAAGGGCAGCCTGGGCTACATAGCAAACTCCAGGCAGCCAAGGCTACAGAGACCCTGTCTCAAAAACAAACAATTCAACATCCTCCAGTCTCCAACCTATCGATCAGGGAAGTGACAATGGGGCCTTTGTCATGCTGGCTTTATCCACTGCCGGAGACGTCAGATTAAACACAGGCAGTTGTGTTGTGGCTAGCAGGGTTTAGAGGACTTGGCAGGAAGCCTCTGTTTTGTTTGTTAGGAATGTTCCAAGTTCATCCTGCTGGTTCTTGCAGTTATTATGCATAAGTAGGACATGCTTACCTATCTCACCAAATTTCTCTCTCTTTTTTTTTTTAAAGATTTTATTCATTTACTTATTATGTATACAGTGTTCTGCCTACATATATGTCTGCATGCCAGAAGAAGACACCAGATCTCATTACAGATGGTTGTGAGCCACCAAGTGGTTGCTGGGAATTGAACTCAGGACCCCTGGAAGAACAGCCAGTGCTCTTAACTCCTGAGCCACCTCTCCAGCCACAGTTTCACAGCATTTCTTTCTTTAGGGTAATTATACTCTACATTAGACTCAGCTCTGACTATTCTATCATTTCCTTTTTCTTTTTCTATTTTTTATTTTTATTTTTTGGTTTTTCAAGACAGGGTTTCTCTGTGTAGCCCTGGATGTCCTGGGTCTCGCTCTGTAGCCCAGGCTGGCCTTGAACCCACAGAGATCCACCTGCCTCTGCCTCCTGAGTGGTGGGATTAAAGGCGTGCACCACAACCACCCAGACTATTCTATCATTTTCAACAAACAAAAATTAATTTGGGGTAGAGAAATAAGACACAATATAGATATTAAACTTCTTGGACCTAGAAAGCACTAGGACACAGTCATGAGGTAGGTTTACCCTACCCCACTTCAACAACTGTTATCTATAGCAAATAAGTCCTCTGTGGAGCCCACTTAATTTTTCTTAAATCTTTATTGTGTGTGTGTGTATGTATGCAGACACACACATAACACACACGTAGAGATCCACTATGCAGGCTTGGTGGAAGGTCTTTTTACTCACTACCCATCTTGCTCCCCTACATGGTATTTTGTTTTTGTTTTTTGAGACACGGTTTCTCTGTGTAACAGCCCTGGCTATCCTGGAACTCTCTCTGTAGATCAGGCTGGTCTCAAACTCAGAGATCCACCTGCCTCTATCTCCCCAGTGCTGGGATTAAAGGTGTGCGCCACCACTGCCCAGCCCACATGGTATTTTTTTTTAATCTATTTATTTTATGTGTATGAGTGTTTTGCTTGCATGCATGTTTGTGCACCACATGTGTGCCTGGTGACTGTGGAGATGAGAAGAGGGTGTCAGATTCCTTAGAACTAACTGCAGTTATGGATGGTTGTCAACCACCATGTAGATGCTGGAAGAACCGAACTCATCCTCCGCATGAGCAACAAGTGCTCTTACACTAACTAAGCCGTCTCTCCGGCCCGAGTAGCCCGGGCAGACCATATCCTTCCTTCTCCCTCACTCTGCTCGGCTTTGGGATTACCACGCCCAGGTCTCGGATGCTTCCTTCCTCTTTCTCACTTCTATCATTTTAAGACAAAGGAGCCAGGCGGCAGAGGCAGGCAGATCTGTGAGTTCAAGGCCAGCCTGGTCTACAGAGTGAGTTCCAGGACAGCCAGGGCTAGGAAAAGGGGCAAGTGGGTTAAATGCAGCTCTTGGGCCTGAGGACCGGAGTTCAACCTCCAGGACCTACGTGCAGAAGACAAAGACTCCTGAAAGTTGTTCTCTAACCTCACACCTATGCTGTGGTGTTTGTGTATACACACACACTTAATGCAGTTTAAAAAGACACGGGGAGTTGGGAGAAGGAACAGGAAATACCTGGAGAGGTTGGGTTTTGCCGACACTGCCTAACAAACACAGGAAAGAGAGCTGTGACTTTTAAATCCCCAAACAAACTCAATGAAGAGAAGCCATGTCCTCAAGACAGGCACATATCTGTATCCATGCTCCTCAAGGACAGTCTGGGCTACATTCAGAGACCCTGTGTTTTAAAAAAATTCTCCTGGCTGTTCTACCAGAGTCAGTCTCGCCCTGCAACCTGTAAACGGCTGCATTATTTGACCAGTTCCTTATCTTCTACCACCGACCCAGGCTTCCTCTACACTGCTCACTTAAATACTGGTTCTGAGCAGGCTTGGCTTCCATGAGATGCTAAGAACACAAGCTGTGTAAGAGCAAGCCTCCAACTCAAAGAACATGAGCAGCGCTCCTACGCTAAGAATGCCGCTCCTATGCCAAGAGCAGCATCTGGATCAACACCCAGGAAGGACAGAGCAGGACATCAGCCCAGTGCTGGGGATTCTGTCTGTAATGTACAAGGGAAACAACATTTTAAAACAGTGAGCCTCTGTGGACCGTGACTTCCATCCTGACGAGGACACGTAAGAACAAGCTCAGCCACACTCAGGGGCTGGAGAGACGGCTCAGTGGTCTTCCAGAAGACCCAGGTTCTGTTCCTAACATCTACACAGCAGCTCACAACTGTTCCAGAGGAATCTAATATCCTCTTCTGACCTTAGTGGGCACCAGGCATACATGTGGTACACAGCAAAACACCCATACACATAAATAATAATATTAATAAGGAAATATACAGAATCCAAAATTTAGAGTCAGCATGAGGGCACAAGCCTAAATTTGGGATGATCACTGTCTTTTGTTGTTGTTTTGTTAAGTAAGACAGGGTCCTGCAGGGCTGGAGAGATGGCTCAGCGGTTAAGAACACTGGCTGTTCTTCCAGAGGTCCAGAGTTCAGTTCCCAGCAACCACAGGGTGGCTCACAACCATCTGTAATGAGATCTGGTGCCCTCTTCTGGCCTGCAGGATATATGCAGACAGAACACTGTATACATAATAAAGAAACAAAAAAAATTCCGTCCTCAGCTGGGGGTGTGGGGGGGGGGGCACACAACAGGGTCCCACTATGGTTGTTCTAGAACTCACTATGCAGACCAGGCTGGCCTTAGTCTCCCGAGTGCTAGGGTTAAAGGTGTGAACAACCACACACAGACACACAAACATATCCATAAATGAAAAGGTAAGTCTTAAAATCAAGCTGGGCCCCTGAGCTTCCGGACGGGAAGCTCCCAGTGCTGTGACCCCCACTGTGGTCTGCTTCGTCAAGCCATGAGCTAATGTGTCAGGCATTCGGTCACAACCATGAGAAACCAATACAACAGACAAAATGACAAAGGGAGAGAAAACAATCGTTTCAGGAAGCATTCTGTTCTGAGCTGGGCTTGGTAGTGCAATGCCTCGAATCAACACTTGGGAAGCAAAGAACAAGAAATCAGAAGTTTGAGGCCAGCTTGGGCTACAAAGTGATACTGTCTCCAAAAAACAAAAATTGTTCCTCTGGGCCTGGTAGCACACACCTCCATCCTAGGTCTCAGGAGGCTGCGGGTACAAATCAAGTTGGAAGCTAGCCTGGGCTGCATATCAAGACCCTATTTCAGAAAAGAGAGGAGATTCCGTCTTGTTAGTTCAATCCCACCATGAAGAAAAGCACTGGTAGCCGGACAGTGACAGCACACACCCCTTTAGGCCCAGCACTGGGGAGGCAGAGGCAGGTGGACCTCTGTGAATTCGAGGCCTGGTCTACAGATCAAGTTCAGGAAAGCCAGGACTAGACAGAGAAACCCTGTTTAAAAAATAATAACAAACAAACAAATGTTTTTTTAAAGAAATGCATTGGAATAGCCTAGGAGGTCACCTGCCTACCATGAAGTCTTGAATGTGATCCCTAGCATTTAAGAGAAAAAGAAATAAATCAATCAATAGAACTCAGAAGATACTTTGCCCAGGTGTCAGAGTCTCAACCATGCAAACACATCATGCAAAGAAGACACTTATCGATGTCCTGTTCTAACAGCCACACTTAACCAGTCTGTACTCGTCAGGCAGGCTGCTCACAACCCCTTGCCATTATGCTAGCCATGTTATGTGCCCACATCACCAGGACCTCCACTGTGAGGCCACAACCTTAGCTCCTCCCCTCAAGCCTCAGGAACGATTCTGAGACTCAACAGACATAGCAAAGGTACCTCGAAAGCAGCCAGTGTGACTTCTCCTGGAGAAGGGAAAAGTCAAGTCACAGCTCAAATTCCAGCTTCTCCTGCGGCCCAGTGCTTAGTGCCAAGATTCCTAAATGAGTCTTCCTAAGACACACCTTCTTGCCGTCGCAAAGCTAGTCAGGGCAGCTTAGGGACTCTGCCACCTGGCTCTGTCTCTGGAGAAGGATTAGTGAGAAAGCTGAGGCTGTCTCCTCCCCCCTCAGAGAGGGGCTCCACAGTCAGGCAGTCTCTGGGGCGGCCGAGGGCCTAGGATTTTATGAAAACGTTTTTATCTCCATAGATAAGGAGTCGACAATGTGCCATAATAATGCTCATTGCCCCAGAGCAGCCATGGGACCATCCGCTTCCTTATTACGCGCTCTTAAAGCTGAGGAGACCTCGGAAACAAAGGCCTCTCTAATCACATGCTGTTTGAACAAAGGCCTGAGTGAACGAACAAGCTGTGTGAACTTCTCAGGGAAGACATTTCTAGGCAGGGGAAATGTGAGAAAACCAGACATCTGGGTGGGCTGTAACTAATTCTATAAGATTCACAGCTGGAAAGTCAGCTGTCCAGTGGAGACAGCCATGGGTTAGAACAGCAGACAGTATCAGGTACATATATGTAACGCACACAGTTAAGTGGCATCCTTATGGGGAGTACAGCATCAAAACCCCACAGTCAGGAGATAAATAAACAAGGCACTGTGACCCCGCCAAGATGGCCCCATGCCTACCACACCTAGAAATTGTCCAGTGAAGACTGCAGAGTGCTTCCCACGCTTCCTGAATTGAAGGTAAAAGGAGAAACAGCAAAGGAATGCATAATCCATTTCCCCTCGGAGTCTCTTGGCCAGCTCTCAGGTCCTTCTCTCTTGTATTTTGGACGGTGCCAGGGACTGAACCCAGGACCTTGCACATTCCAGGTAAGTACTCCACCACTGAACCACTTCCTTAGCCCCTTCTTTCTCACTTCTAAAGTGCATGTCAAAACCATCAACAAGGGCCGATGAGATGGCTTCCTGCTAACACTGATGAGTTAGATCCATCCCTAGGACTCACGGCAGAATTAGAGAACTAATTCCTCCATGTTGTTCTCCGTTCTCCTCATGTACATGGCACCCTCATCTCCACTACATAAACGTTAAGGGAAAAAAAAATTGTTTTTGTTTTTTTTCCAAGACAGGGTCTCACTATTTAGCCTTGGCTGGCATGGAACTTGCTATGTAGACTAGGCTGGCCTGAAACAGAGATCTGCCTGTCTCTGCCTCCTGAGTGTTAAGATTAAAGGTGTGTGCCACCATGCTGGGCATTTTCTTTACTTTTTGAGGCAGGTCTCACTAAGTTGCCCAGTGTGGCCTTAAACTGGTTCTGAAGTTCAAGCAGGCCTTGAATTTATCCTTCTGCCTTGGCCTCAAGCCAAGCACAAATTTATAATCTAAAACAAAGCAATAACAAAAATCAACCCTGGATTGCTATTCACATGAAAAGATAACCAATTACATCAGGATGTTCCTCAGAGGAAAATGGATTCCCGAACGGCGCCAAGTCTTACCTGGGTATTGTCTGTATAATGAAAATATCTTGGCCACGAACAGACTCTTTGATTTCAACTCTTGTTTCTGAAGAATAAAAAAAAAAGTATTCAGGTTTAAACAGTTCATGGTGCAGTAAACAGACAACAGCTGGAATAAAGAGGATTCTAAACAGCCCCACCTGGCATAATCCAAGTCTTAACTAAAATACTCATACACAGAATGACCAGGTTGGGAGAAGACAAAACCAACAAATGTGTCAAATAGTCTAAAAAATTCCCAAAGCTGTCACCAAAATGAAGCTATGAAAAGACACTGAGGAAGGGGTCCACAGCGAATCAAGAGGCCGCAGCTAACACCTGTTAGCCTTTCAACCAATGCAGAGGCGTCCCCGGACGGGCCCTGTGCTGGGTCCTGGAGAGGACCTGGACCAACGGGATGAAGACAATCTCAGTCTGACCCAGCCTTGCCACAGACAGGTCATGGAGAGCAAGGCAAGAATAGTGGTCTTCCAGAAAGCCGGCAGCACAGCAGGGAGGGGCCGTTTGCCAACAGTCGTGGTCACTTAGACCACTTGGGAGCAGAGAGTATGAGAGAAGAGATGCACAGGTCAAGAAGTCAAGGAGGCCCGGCCAGAGAGCAGAGTTTTCTTCTTAAACATGACAGGAGCTTGGCATGGTAGCACGTGCCTTTAATTCCAGCGTTTGGGAGGCAGGCAGATCTCCGTGAGCTCAGGACAATCTGGTCTACAAAGTGAGTTCCAGAACAGCCAGGACTCTGTTACACAGAAAAATCCTGCCTCAAAAACAACAACAAAATGAAAAGAATCTCTGCTGAAGCTTTTTTGGGGCTGGAGAGATGGCTCAGCAGTTAAAAGCACTGACTGCTCTTCCAGAGGACTCAGGTTCAATTCCCAGCACCCACAACTGTCTGTAACTCCAGTTTCAGAGGATCCAACACTCTCACACAGACATACATGCAAGCAAAACACCAATACACATTTAAAAAACAGTGACAGGAAAGCAAAGCTGGCGGAGGTGGCAGTCCTTGGCTACCATGGGAAGAAAACGATCGCAGTGCAGGACTGGCAACAGGGGCTGTGGGACCGTGGGAACGCACACAGACCGACTGAAGATCCGGGGGAAGCGGCAGAACCCGATCCCAATGGGCCCCAGTCTGACTGCTGAGCAAGCACACTCCGGCCTGTGGTAGCACAAGGCTGACCATCTTAATCTAAAATCTGAAATCCAAAATGCTTCCCAAGCCTGAAAACCCTGGGGTGCTGACGACACTCAATGCTTTAGACTCTGGGGCATTTCAAATCTGAAATGCATAAACCAGTAGTCCATGCTGGTTCCTAGATCAGGAACGAAGTCCCAGCTTTTCAGGTGAGGGACACTCCACCTGCAGGAAGGAGACAACCTCAGCTAAGGACATTTGCGTCCTAGTGAGCTTGGGAGTTGCTCGGTAGTGAACTTTTCCCTGGCATGAACAAGGGGAAGCTCTGGATTCAATCCCTAGTTGGCTACCCCTTTTTGTAGGTCCCACCACCTCCAAAAAGATTTAAAAGTCTATTCACAGTAAGTGAAAAGAATGGGCTGGATAGAAGGCTGCTGAGACTTGGAACATTTCCGATGCCTCAGTTCCAGAGATAGAGACCCACAGCAGTGATGATGAGTAAGTAAGGAGAGCATCTTTATTATCATTCCCTCCTCTGGCCTCCCAACCCTAGCACCCACACCAGACAGCTGGGGATGCAATGCCCTTTCCTGGCCTCTTTGGACACCACACACACACACACACACACACACACGCACACGCACACGCACACGCACACGCACACGCACACGCACACACACACACACGTCTCTCAACAAGTCTTAAAAGAAAGCTGCTAAGGTGGGAAGCTGGCTGAAGGATACCTGACGCTAATTAAAACGTGGTTTTTCACGCACACTGTGAGGGTGCTTTCCTTCAACCGTCCCTCCAACCGTCCACTGTCCTGCCCTGGATCCCAACATCACTATGACACTGGGGCTTGGTTCTGGTTTGTGAGGCAGGGCCTTACTCGGTGAGCCTGGCTGATGTTTCCCTGTGTGGCCCAGAATGGGCTCAAACTCATGGCATTCATTCCTCTTGCCTCAGCCTTCTGGGTGCTGAGATGACAGGCATGGACCACAACACCTCTTCAGTGTCTTTTTCTACAATGAATAAGAGCAGGATGAGGACAGGCGGGCGGTGGCGCACGCCTTTAATCCCAGCACTCGGGAGGCAGAAGCAGGCGGATCTCTGTGAGTTCGAGGCCATCCTGATCTACAGATCAAGCTCCAGGACAAGCTCCAAAGCTACATAGAGAAACCCTGTCTCAGAAAAACCAAAAAAAAAAAAAGAGCTCTCCTAGATTATGACATAGTATTATTAGTGGGACTGTCAGATACCTTCAAATGTTCGTGTTATAATTATTTTCCACACAACCCAGAGGGAAGCAAACTGGGCCCCCAGCCCAGTACAATAATCTATACACCTGGATTAAGAGAAAAAAAAAAAAAGAAAGAAAGAAAAAACAGGACAGATTTTGAAAGGGATGTTGACTGCCTGTGTCTGAGCATCACCATCAGGTGTCTTCTCAATCACTTTCACCTACGTTCTGAGACAGGGTTTTTCACTAGACTCAGCTCATTGACATTCCTCGGCTGACTGCCCCAGAGCCCCAGAGATTGCCTGTATCGGTCTCTCCGGCACTGAGGTCACAGATGCACAGCAAACACTATCTCCACCCCCACCAAAGAGGACTTTCGGTCACGCTGTCATTTGATGTCCTAATGAGTCATATTTACCAAACAGAACCAAAGTAGAAGAAAAAACAAAACCTTCTATGCACCTCTCCTTTACTTCTAATAAACAGGGTATGTGCATCCAAGTGCAAGAGCGGACATCAAGGAGGACAACAGTCAGACTCCACGGAGAGATAAGGACCAAGGGCACAGGCGCTAATGCTGGAAAGAAAACATTTCTGTGCTGAATTCCTGTATCAGGACATCAGCGAGTAAAGTACTCACTATGTGAGCCTGATGACTTGAGCTCAGCCCCTAGCACACACACAGGCGTGCAAACACACACATGCACACACACAGGCACAAGCACATGCAGTGGCTGGTGTCTACAACCCCAGCTGTTTGTGCAGAACAGCAGAAACAGTAAGGGAGACCCTGCTTCACCAAAATAGCAAAGAACTGAGTCCCCAAGCTTGTCCTCTGACCTCCACATGTGCATCCACACACATGCACACCACCACACATAAAATAAGCAAAATTAGAGCACTCTCTACTTGTGAAAGTACGCCAGCTTTTGAGGTGTGATGGTGCTACATGGTGAAGGCAGGAGGATCCCAAGTCCCAGGCCTGAGTGGTGAGTTCTAGTGTGGCCATGGAATCAAGGCAAAAGCATGTTAAAAAAAAAAAAAACAACAACAACAACAACAAAAAAAAAGCCATCAAGGTGGGCATGATGGTACATGTTGTGGAATATTAGTTTAAGATGTGTTATATTCGTTTATGCTGTGGAATATTTGTTTAATGATACAAAGATATTTTTCACTTATGTTGCATTTGTTTAACTCTGTAAAGCTGTGTTATTTTGTCCATCTAAAACACCTGGTGGTCCAATAAAGAGTTGAACGGACAATAGCAAGAAAGGATAGGCGGGGTGGGCAGGCAGAGAGAATAAATAGAAGGAAGAGAAGAGGGACGAGTGAAAATGAGAAAATGGCTCCAGGCACCCAGCCACATGGCCAGTAATGGAGTAAGAGGGAAAGAAAGATATAGAATAAAAAAGGTAAAATCCAGAGGCAAAAGATAGACAAGATAATTTAAGAAAAACTGGCTAGTGGGCAGTGGTGGCACAAACCTTTATTCTCAATTTTTTCCCCCGAGACAGTGTTTCTCTGTGTAGCTTGCGCCTTTCCTGGATCTCGCTCTGTAGACTAGGCTGGCCTCGAACTCACAAAGATCGGCCTGCTTCTGCCTCCCGAGTGCTGGGATTAAAGGCGAGCACCACCACCGACCCGGCTGGCACACACCTTTAATCCCAGCACTCGGGAGGCAGAGGCAGGCGTATGTATCCCTGATCTACAGAGCAAGTTTCAGGACAGGCTCCAAAGCTACATAGAAAAACCCTATCTCGACATACCCCTCCACCCCAGAAAAAGGGGAAAAAAATAAAAAATAAAAAAAGCTGGCTAGAAATAAGCCAAGCTAAGGCCGGACATTCCTATGTTAGAATAAGCCTCTGTGTATTTATTTGGGAGCTGGGTGGTGGGCCCCCCAAGAACAAGGAGTAAAAATAAAAACCAGCAGGTACATGCCCACAATCCCAGAACACAGACGGTTAAAGGCGTCAGGTAAGGAATTCAAAATCAAAATCATCTCAGCTGCCTAGCAGGTTCCAAACCAACAACAAGGGTCGAAGCAGTGAGATGGGCAGGGGGTGAAGGCACTCGCTACCACGGCCGACCCGAGTTTGATTCCTTGGACCCCACAGGCTAGAAAGAGGGAACCAACGCCATGTGGTATTACTGGAGATGCAGAAGCAAGACGATGGTGAGTTTGAAGCCTGGATGAGTTAGTTATACAGTGAATGCCTCTCTAAAAGATCTGAAACGGAAAGAGGAAACGAAGCCAGAGCGGCGGTGCGTGCTTGTAATCCCAGCACCAGGGAGACAGAGCAGAGGGTCAAGCCACCATAGGCCATGAGATACTGCCTCAAAGGGCAACGACAAACCCTACATGAAAAACAAACCAACTTTAACTTACCTCCATTGGTCTCCTGGTATACAACAGATTTCCCCAATTCAGCACCAAGACGCCTATTACACAAGAAAAGGGGGTGGGGATGTTAATTAACCCATTATTCTGGAAGCTGAGGCAGGAGAATTGCTGTAAGGTGAAGCCAGCCAGGACTACATAGCAAGCCCAACTCTCTTAAAAAAAAAAAAAGGAAAGAGAACAGAGTCAGATAAAGGCAGCACAAGCTGAGCATACGAAAGACACTGCATTTGTAGATATGTGTTGTGTTGTTACAGGGACCTTCACAGTGATCTGAAGAACTAGCTAACAAAAAAGGCAAACCCACTAATTTTTAGAGTGCCCTTCCTCAGGCTTTCTCAAGGCAAGGTCACTATGTGATAAATCTGAACCAGTATAAACAAACTCAAGCTTCATGTTTGAAGTGAGTATTGTACTTGGCCTTGACCAGAAAGACCGTAATTAGGGCTTAGAAACAGAAAGCGGGTAGCAGACTGCACGACTCTTTCGTATACTCTCCTAAACCCACTTCAAAGTCCAACTGATAATAAAACAGGTGGAGCTTAGAATTTCTGAATATGAAAATGACCTTAAATGTTCAAAGTCAAACCATTTAAGCCTGGAGTCCAGGTGCACACCTGTAATGCCAGCATCAGGGAGGCTAGAACCTGAACATAACAGAGGCTGGCCAGGGCTACAGAGATCTTATCTCAGAAAACAAAAGACAAGGATGGGTGGGGTGGCACAGGCCTTTAGTCCCAGTTTCCCCGTGGCAGAGGCAGGCAGATCTCTAAGAGTTCAAGGCCAAAGGTCTGCTTTGTAGATTCCAGGCCAGCAGCGGCTACAGTGAAAGCCAGTCTCATAAACAGAGAACACAGGCCAAACAACAAGTTAAGCAACTATAAACATCAAAGGGAAGGACAAATGATGCTTTCTGTTACATATTTCTAAAAAGCTTATTTTTAAAAAGGGCCCTTAAGGCTCTTTACATCGGGGCTCTAGTTTTCTGCAAAGGAGAAAAAGGGGTTTTCCGTGAACAGGTATTATTACCAAAGGGCCACTGGGAGGCCCTGCTCTGAGGGACTCATCTCTAGTATCCCCACTAACTCAGGCTGGCCCTCCCGTCCCTGTCCCACAGAACCACCCACATTTTACAAGTAAGGTTAAAAACAAAACAAATCCGACCACGTCCCTCGGCCAGTGTCAGCGAGGTGATAACGGCAAGCCTGGGAAAAAATCGCAAGGCCCCAAAGGTCCCTTAAGGTCAGAGGCTAAGTAACATACACACAAGCACACACCCCTAAGCAAAGACTCTTTTGTACAACTAACTGATCCAACATCTTGGAATCACGGCTCTCCCCCGCCAGGCCCCCCGTAGTTCTGAGCTCCCTTCTCCCTGCCCTTCGGTCTGAGGCTAGACCCGCACGCCTGTCTCGTTAGGGAGGGCTGGAAATGGCGATGGTCACACAGAGACCGCCGGAAATCTCTCAAGGGCGATGCTCCACGGCCCTGGGACCGGAGCACCTACTTCCCCAGGGGTCGGCCCGAAGCTTCGGCCCCCAGGGGCGGAGGTGGGGAGCGGGGGGAGGCGCCAGGCCAAGCCGGGCACCGCTGCGCTTACTCGGTGATGCGCTTGGCTAGCTCGGTGCAGGCGGCCGTGGAGTTGGCCGAGAAGACTCGGTAGCCGGTGCGGGCGGCGTTCATGGCCGGCGGGGCGGCGGGGCGAGCCCGCGGGACGCGGAGAGCCGAGCACGCGGACAGCGGGGCCAGCAGCAGCAGCTTCTTGGGCATCCTCCGGCCCGAGGCG